CGGGTTCTTGGGCGCCTCATCCCCACATCGTATTTCGGGGAGACGCGCACTCTCTTTCACACACGCGCTTGCACCATCCCAGCCCCCCCGTCGGCAATGGAAACGCACTCTTGCCACCGTCGGCTGCCTCATTGCTCCGCCATGCCTGCATCAATAAATAAATAAATAACAGGGAAATGTGACGTGTATTTTTGAAAAAGAACAAGTGCTATGCAAAAGGCCACGATGGAAGGAAAGCGCGCGGCTGCTCTAGAGGGCCCCTTAAACCGAAGTACAGTATACTCTAAACCAGCTCCTCAGTTTCAGATGATTGGAGGCTGTCAAATCGGAACCGTGTTAGAGCGACGCAAACAGGGCTCTCAAGATAACTGAGGTATTTCGGGAGTGGTTTCACCCGTTCCAGTCCCCCAGTGAGTTTTCATGGCTGAACAGAGGATTCGAACCCTGGTCTCTCTCGCACTATCCACTACACCACACTGGGTTTTATCTAGAGGCTTTAGCAGCTTGGAATTGGGGCCGGAGAGTTTCTTCCCAAACGGCTAATCCGAGGTTGGCGGCTCGACCAAGGCGGGGCTGGTGCGAGAATCGACCCTGCGTTTGAGGAAAGAAGAAAAGGGTTGGGGACAAAATGGGGCGTGGGGGGGCGCCGAACCAAGACGAAATACGAAATCGCCGAAGAAAGGGGGGGGGACAGACATCGCGGGAGTTCAGCGCTTGCGCAATGTAGAAATCGGGGTGAGGGACGGAAGAGGGAAAAGATGCTCCACAGTTGTAACCTTTGCCCGGGTATGCGAAGTAAATAATTGCGCGCTAATTATACCGCGGGGTGGAAGGCCCCCCCCCCTCGCATTTCCTTCGCCTTTTTTGTTTACTTGCTTGCCTTCGACGTTTTTCCGATGTAAACGAAACCGAACTCCTGTAGCGCAGCTAATGAGCATGCCCTCTCGTTAGGCGAAAAGATCACCGTAGGCACAGATTTTGCGCGCCTCGGAAGGAAAGCAAATGCCTGATGATTTAATTTACCATTAAAGTGTTTTGCTTTTTAACTGCCCGGGAGAAAGCCTGTGCGATTTTTAATTTTATTTCTTTTGAAATAACACCTCGGCTTCCTAAATAAAGTCACCAGGCTTTGGATACTGTGAACCTTGATGTGGGAGGGAAGAGGGTGATGTCGGCGCCTCTGGCCGCGAACCCTTTTGGGGGACGGCCCTTCTCATGACTGGGAAGAGATAGAAACGTCATCAAGATCTCTCTCTCGGCATCTGAAATACTGCGCCCTGCAAGAAAAGGCATCGTTGTCAAGGTCTGGTGGCTTTGCTTCTTTGGTACGCAGCCTGTAGAAAGCACCACCAAAGAGCTGGCACACGAAGCACCGCCATGTGGCAGGAGAACATCAGCCACGGGCTATTGCGTTCTAGAAACAGAAGAGGGATGAATGAACGGCTCCTAAACGAATTCCTAAAGTCGGAGGCTGTCAGCAGTCAGTCGGAGAGGGAGGAGGAAGCTGATCACTGATCGGAAGGAAGCTGATCGCAAGATCACTTACGGGGTTCCTGAGTCAAATCATTTTGAAAAGGGGTGAGGCGCTCTCTGCTAGGCAGGTTTATTATTGATCGTGAGAATACTCCGAGACTGAATGCTGAGGAATCTGTTTTTTGTTTTTTTAAATCATGTAGTTTTGCTCTCGTAAGTAGGGAAAGGCAAGGATGTCTCAAAGACTGGGGAGAGTTTCAGCATTTGAAAAGTAAACTCAGGTCATCTTTAATGCATTACTTGCATTGAGGACATCATGGATCTGCCCTTTCAGTGGGTGGCGCTGGGTAAATCAGCAGCATCCCTTGCTAAACTGGCTCACAGGGCATAAATCTGATAAATATGAAATAACTTCTGAACATAATTTCACCCCTCTGTCCAGTATTTATTTATACCTGGTACTGCAGATCCGTTGCATTTCCTATGCATCTGTGTAGGGAGCTGTGGGCTGAAAGCTACTTGGCAGATATTCCTCCACTGGTATCATAGGAAGCACTGTTCCCATTCTACAACAGGTAGCACAGAATTACTGTACAGTATTAGAATTCCTCCAGGATGGCCTGAATAGTACCTATGCACACAAGCATTATCTCTCTCTCATCTTTTAAAAAGAGAAGATAGGAAGCCACTATCAGCTCACCCACACCTGAATAATTTTTTTAGCAGCATGCATAATGTGACCACCTGTTATACACAGCTTTCCATGAAGTTTATAAGGCCCTCACTAACCCATCCCCTGAATCCTTATGTTTTGT